GTGGGGCGTTGTGTGTGCAGCCTGGAGTCGGACTCGACGGGCCTTATTTGTCCCATTCTTATTCTCTGCTCTATGTAATACAGCGTTTGTGTGTTTCAAAGGTAGAGATTACAGATTAATGTTGTATTTGTGTAGAAGCTGCTTCTTGGCCGAGGAAAATGCTTTGTGGAGCTGGAGCTGCATGTGTTACCACAGTCGGGGCTCTTACCACTGTGAGTGTCTGAATAACACTGTGCTTGGATGAGCAGCACACAGTCAGGCTCTGTCCCAGCCTCTTTCTCCGGTGTTTGTTTGCTGTGTGACTCACAGGACAGCGTGTGCCTCAGTGTTTTTGTGGTACGTCATCCTTCTGCATGTGTCATAATGGCTGCCTGCAGTAAGGCCTGTCCAGCTGGAATGTGAGCAGAGCAGGCAGCTGGAACGGCAGCATGGGGAGCTGTCTCCAAATGGAGTGAGAATGTGCAGGAGCAGAAGTTGCCAGCTCATATCTGCTTAAGCAATTAAACCATCGAGGTGCTGATTGCTCCTCTGTCCTTACCTGCACTTCTTATTTTCTGTACTTCAGAAAAAGTAGAGTATTTCCTGATTTTTCAGGTAGGGCCTTGGTGTTCCTGTTGGTACCCATCACTTCTGGTCGGGCACTCGGTTCTGCTGAGCAGAGCCTGACTGTGATGTTTGTACCCTCTGTTGAGGTACTTGAAGGCATTGATGAGAATCTCCCTGAGCCTCTTCCAGGCTGAGCAGCCCCAGCTCCCTGCCTTTTTTCACATGAGAAGTACTTCACTGACCAAACTTGGTTGCCCTACATTGCACTCTTTCCAGTAGCTCCATGTTTCTCTTATACTGGGAAGCCCAGAACAGGGCTCAGTGTGAGCTGGTCAGTGCTGAGCAGAGGGGAACAATCACCTCAGTGCTGAGCAGAGGGGAACAATCACCTCCCTCCATCTGCTCTCAACACTTTGCCTAGTGTAGCCCAGAATATCATGAGCCTTCTTCACAGCAAGGGCATACTGTGGGCTCATTTTTCCTTTTGTATTCACCAGGAGTCCTTGGGCCTTTTCTGTCAAGCTGCTTTACAGCCAGGTGCCTGGAAGTGCTCTCCAGGGACAGGACTTCACAGCTCCCATGGCTGAGCTGCAGTGAGGTTGCTGTCAGACCATTTTTTTTCCAGCCTGTCAGGGTCTCTCTCAGCAAAACCCTTGGGTGTATCTACCCCTCTTGTCCATAAGATCAGCAAACTGAGGGTGCAGTATAAGCCACGGATCCATAATGACGATGTTAAGCAGGAGTGGACCCACTGTTGACTCCGGGGTGCATTACATTACTGGCCTCCAGCCTGACCCTGCACAGCTGTTTGCCTCTTACTGCTTGGCTCATCCAGCCCACGCCTCATCAATTTCTCTGTCAGGGTCTTAATTGGAGGTGGTGCTTATAAGCCTTGCTGAAGTCAGAGTTAAAATATCTACTGCTTTCCTCTTGTCTGCCAAGCCAGCTATGTTTTCATAGAAGAAATTGGTCAAGTATGATTTCCTCTTGCAATTTTAAAATAAATAAATAAACCAAAAGGCCTGAGATGATGATCTGGTCACAATCCCCACAAACCTGTGCAGTGTGGCAACCACCAAACAGCCCTTATTTCCAGAAGTACTCAAGTCAATCACTGGGACTTGTATCCTGCTATAAGGTAGCTTTGCAGAGACCAGGGTAGCAAAACACCTGTGTGCAAAGAATTTAATGTGTGGCAATGGAGGCTACGTTGATGAAAAGGTTTTTTTGTTTCAAGCATGAAATGAAACAGCAGTCTTGGCTACCAGGGTGGTTATGAAAGTTTTTTGGATGGCTTAAGCAAAGTTGGGGTTGGCAGTTGAGATCCTTTCTCAATTTTGACCTGTTTCTGTTGCGAGTTTACTGCCTCTGATTCACTTAACTCAAAATTATGCATCTACATCTTGTAAACGGAAAGCAAAGGCAGGGTGAACCAGAAAATGTGTTGAGTGGGTTGGTTGGGTTTGTTAGTTTGTTAGCTTTGTTGGGGTTTAGTTTTGTTTTTATTTCAAGTACTTAAGTTTTAAAAAAAGATCCTGTATAGGCTGAGTGCAGCATGCAGAGCAATCACTTCTGAGTCTTGCTTTCCTATTTCTTCTTCCAGCAGTTCAGGGTGTATAATCAAGAACAGCTGCAGTTTAACTCTCTTAGAGTGTTCTGGGATAGTATGAATGTAATTAAAGTGAAGTATAGATTGTCTAAATCTGAACAGCTTAAATAAAAAGCTAATGCCTTTTGAAAGCAGTCTGTTCTTTTGTTCTTTTCCTTTAGTCCTCCACGGTGGCAGTAGCTGCAGCAGGTCATAGGGCACATCCAAAACCTGCGGGTCTAACATGAGGCACTGCACTGCTTCCCCCACTTGTAATGGAGGAGGAGAATTTAACCAAATACCTACCAAATGCTTACTTAGCAGTCTTGTCTTCAGAGAAGTCTATTTTTGTGGGTTTTTTAAGTATTACTCTATGTATGTATAATATCAAGCCTCACTGCTGGAAATAGCTGTAGAAAGCTGTGTGTTTCTAATGAGGTTGTTTTCTTCTCACCATTTCTGGAGGTATTCTGGTAGCATCTCTGAGACAAATGGAAGAGTCTGCCTAAGCTTTAATAGATGTGCAAGGTGCTGTTGACCAGATTTTACTTTAAATTGCTATTTCACCAATGCAAGTGTACAAGAAGAGACTGTTCCATTCCTGGGTATCATAAAGCTTGTTCTGAATTGACTTTGAAAAACATTCTACTAGAATGACCTCAGCTGTGTGCACTCAGTTTGCTATTTTGAGTTTATTTTCATGTATCGTGGTGCTGCTGGGCAACTAATCTTTTTAACATGGCATTTGTTCTCGTTTTCATGTTTCTTTTCTGTTTTTAGCAGTATATGGTAACCGGCAGTTCTGACCACCTTAATGATGAAAACAGAAGCTAAGGATGGAGAGGAGGAAAGCCTGCAAACAGCATTCAAAAAGCTGAGAGTTGATGCAGCTGGGTAAGTAACAGCATGGGGAGGTACAGAGTTAACCTTACAGAGGGACTGAGAGGGGAACACCCCTCCTGTTACATCTGAACAAGTGAAGTAATTTCAGAAGGTCAGGCACTGAAAGCCTTCATTGTAGTTCGGTTGAAACAAATTCACTAACTGTAGGCTGTGTTTCTCAAGAAGTCATGATTTGTTAAATCATCCTTAGCTCTCAGCAGCAGACCTGATGATAAGCAGCAGTTGACAGCTTGCTTGATCTGAATTTTGGCAGGATTCTGGCTGTCCCAGGTTGTGCCTGTGGCTCTGGAAGTCAGCGTATGATCACTGCTGTACAGGCTGCCTTGAGATGAACTGTTTTTCCCGAAAGAGAGATATTCCTTCCACATCAGTGAAGGAGAGCATTAGATGCAATGCATGATTCCCACACGAACTGTTATCGTTGATGTCACTTTCAGACTTTCTGTTTATAGCTAAAAATGCTAACTGGAAAAGAATGCTTTTTTTGTCTTGCTTCATGGGAGATCCGATGTGTGGCACTTAACCCTTGCTGTCCTGGGCAGAAGACAAGCAGTATGTGTCTTCTGTAGTTTCTATGTAATTCTTTTGCTGCTGATGAATGTGTATTGTTACATATGGGGCACTAATTTCAGTGGGCTGCAGGCTGTAATGCAGTTATGCTGCTGACCGAAGTACAGCTGTAAGGCAGAATGTAAATATCAAGTTGGTAGTTGGAATTCCCTTAGAAGCTAGGTGGCAAGAAGAGAGGCTTCTAATATTATCTTTCATTTAAGTAATTAAGCTTGTTAGAAATCTGTCACCACCCAAGTGCCTTTCATTACTTCAGTATCTCTAGTCCAGAAGCCAGGTCAGGCATACTTTAATAGTGGTGGTTTTTGCTCTTGACCTTCAATTTACTACTGGGTTCATAGTTGTAAAATGGAAAACAGCAGTTGCTTGAAGAATGGGTTAGTCTCCTAAATACCAGTTAATGCTGTCCTTCAGTGGCACGTGAGGACTTATTTCCATTTCTTGGGAAGTCAGTCCTGCTTAAAAAACAATTTAATGTAAGATTACTTGATCCTTATCAATGCCAGATCAATATCTGAAGTCGCAGCTTGAAAAATGGCTTGTGCTATTGTCACAGATCGTTGGAAATCTCATTTTGGGGTGGATTTATAGCACTAGAGAAAGGAGTACGATTTCTGTTTTGTCTGACTTGAATAAAAGTTGAAAATTTGTCACAGTTCTGTTGTTCAAGTGGGTGAACTTTCGGTAATATGAAGAGTTTCAGCTTACATTGTCCTAGACAAAGGCATAAGTGTTCTTCAGATAAACAAAGTCTATTTATGTCCGAAGAACATTTATTTTTAGGAAAGAATGGTTTATTTGTCTCTGAAAAAGAGGCACATCTCTTCAGTGATGTTTTTCCCCTCTCCTGGGAGAACTGAGGTTTAGCTGTTCTGTGTGCTTCCACACTGAGGTGTGGATTTTGGATGTGCAATCTCACTGCTGTATGGCATCAACTTTGGGGGCAGTTTGTTATACAATTTTCTGGCATAGAACTGCGTAATGCTGCCTGAAGATCTGTGTTGTCTTTGTGGGCAGCTCTTTTGAGCCATGTCAGAAATGATTCGGGTAATTTTTCTGGGAAGAAAGGTCACAAGTATTTCCATGCTTGCTAGCTAATCTTTGCTATTGATTGTTCATTTTTCACAGCTCTACTGCTTCTCTTTCTATTGGTGAAGGGACACGAGCACTAGTTAGAGCAGCAGCAGATGAAACCAAACCTAAGAATGCTTGTACTTCTAAGGATATCTGGCATGGGTAAGAGAAGTCTGGGATTGTCAGGCTACTTCAAATGTGATTATGATGAAAATGAATTTTAAATAGCCAGTTCTTCCGGTAACCTGGCCTCTAAGTAAGAGCTTTACATTTATTTTTATTAAAGAGCTTGTTTAAAATACTCTGCAGTACTTTTTTTTCCTTGTCATATGACGGCTGTTCTTATTTACAATTACATGAAGTGAAAGGAAATGCTGGTCAGCTAAATGTTGTAGATGGTTTTAATGTAACTGTGGACTACTGTTTTTCAACTGCACGGTCATGAACGCATCTCTTTCACTAGCTGTTAAACTTTGTGGAAGATGTCAGTGTGCTACAGATGCTAAATTAAAAACAATTCTTGATTGTGTATGCAGAACTTCATGTATCTTTGATTGTAACAAAGATGTTCTTGTTGACTTGTGCTATCTTCTTGTGCTCTGTCTTTCTCTCAGAGGTTATCTTACGTGCTGTACTCATCTTTTTTAACCCTAAAAGCACACACTTCAGGATTCATTTCTCAGCTGTTCCTTTTGTACATTTTACAGGTGCTTGACTAGAACAGTGTCAAATTCCAAGACAGTAGAATACCCTGAGCAATACTCTGAGCTTAAAGCTCCTGCATGCAACACTAGATATTTTGCTGATGTTATCCTTACTCCAACAGTGAGTCGTTTAGTGAAACTTCACTCACTTTTTGTATCTTTCTCTGTTAGGTCTGTGAAGAAACCTTCCAGAGGAGCTGTGAGAACTCAGCGTCGCAGGCGTTCCAAGTCCCCAATTCTTCATCCTCCAAAATTTATTCACTGCAGCACAAAATCACAATCCACGTGCAACCAACTGATGCACAAAGGCCAGATTGATGCCCCAGCTGATGGCGGTGCGTTTGGAATATTAGTCCCAAAGGAAGCTTGTGCACACGAACGATGCAGTATTGCCTCAGACATTGGCCAGAAAAGAGATGGCGTCGGTTGTTCCGGAGCCTCTGCTGCACAGTCCACGTCGGTGAACACACAAGAAAATTCTCCCACTGCCATTTCTTTAGTATCTGAAGCAAGCCTAAAGACTGCAGATCTCTCTGACTTCCGATCTGTGTCCAAGCTGAACAAGCATAAGCCATGTGCCTGCGTAGATAAAGCCTGTCAGTGTAAACGATGGCAAGAAATGGAGGTGTATAAATTCTCTGGCTTGCAGAACACTTTCACGTTGGCATCTGATAGAAGAACAGTTGCTGAGGATCACTCCCAGTCTTTGCCATCGAGAACTCCATCGAGTTCTCCACGCTCTTGCTCTGAGCAAGCCAGAGCCTTTGTGGATGATGTGACTATCGAAGACCTTTCTGGATACATGGAATATTACTTGTATATTCCAAAGAAAATGTCTCACATGGCAGAAATGATGTACACCTGAAAACAAGGACTGCTAAAAACAGAAGGGTGGGTGGTTTGTACATGTCCTTAGTCACAGTCATGTGAGATGGAACCTGATCGTTGCTCACTGTGCTTGCAATAAAATCCTTTCTTCGCATCTTAGCTGATGTTCATTATTTCAGCTGGACTAATGCTAGCTTCAGCATGATAGTTTAAACTTGGAATAGATAATGAAGTAAATATAGACAATGTGTTTAGAGAGTATCTATCTGTCTATGCTTGAGTCCTAACATGGGAAATTCGACTTAGTTTTCAAAATCCTTCTGTTTGTTGGAAGGGAAGTGTCTAGGTTCTTAGTGGTTAGGGCTGTTGGAGAACTTGGTGTAATTCAACTTCTTTGAAATTGCTTTGACCCCAGATTGTAATATCTAGGTTTGTATTTCTGGACGTTTCTGCCCCTGGTTTTATTTCATAAAGGATCGTGACCATCTCCTGTCTTCTCCTTGATATAGTTTGTACTCTTGGCAATCCAGGAGGCATAATCTGCTTTTCGTGGGAGAAGGAATTCTTATTTCTTTGTGCCTGAAGAGAGGCTTTACTTCTGATCACCTAAACAGGCATTCTCCTTCACCTGTCTGATACTGAGTTAGTCCCTAGGTTAACAAGGGAAAACTGACCGAGTTTATCCTGATCTATGGAGCGCATTTTAGTGGAAAATGTAAAGCAAGTGTAGCTCTTTATTGAATGTCCTGCAGGCCTTGGAGGTTTATCTGCAGCACCAGAAGCACCTACTTTCTTCAGGGGTGTTGCTTCACTTTATTGTTACTCTGTTAAACTGGAGGACACTGGTCAGCGTGTTTTCAGGAAGGCCAAAACAGTGCATGTTGGCTTCAGCGGTCCTCACTTACACAGTGTTTTTTAGCTTTGTACAACTGCTGTACAGCACCAGATGTAACTACCCAACCATAAAGACCCATGGAGCAAACAGTTGCCAGCTGCACAATTGGGGAAGACTTGAGCTCTGTATTTTCTTCCTCCTCCAACCTTTACTCAACTGCTGTCACTTCAGATGCCCAGTCCAAGTCCAAAGTCCTGGTGGAGCCCTGCGTTCTTCCTGAAATGTACTTCAGAAATAACAGCTTGCTATACTTAATGAGTCAGTACAGTGTGTGTATGGCAGAGGAGTGTCCTGTCAGATACTGTTTGGTGAAGGAGAGATGAGCTGCATTGTTTGTCTTTGTTTGCTGCCTGTGAGATCTGGAGAGGAAACAGGCAAACATTTCTTGGGTGTACTTTTGGGTTGTTTGTTGTCATCAGAAGTTCTGACATCTGTCCCTTATATGTTGTTTGCATTTCCCTTCAATTCCCCCGTGCTCAGCTGTATTTCTGCCACTGGGATTTTGAATTCAAGGCAAAAGATGAAAGGTATTTCCAGTCCAGTATTGCTGTTTCCCATTTCTTAGACAATCACTGCAGACTTGCACTTGCAGGGTTTAGGATTACAATATCAGGTGCTCAATATCACTGTACAAAGTGGATTGAAACCCAGGAGGAGATGTAAAGAATAAAGACTTGAACCTGTGCTCACTGGGACAGGAAGCGAGCGCAGCTGTGCCGCTAGAGGTCCTCCGTTCCTCCAGGCTGGATGCAGCTGAATCCTCACCAGCCTTTTCAGGAGAACGCTGATTTTTCTGCCAAGATGAAGAAATCAGGCAAGATCTGGGTGGTGCCTGATCACACACAAGGTTTGAGCGTTGTCTGAAGTTGGACTGTATGGCTGATTTAGCACTCAGTGTAGGCTCTAAATGCCAGCGTGTGTGTAAGTTATTTATACAGTGGTCCATCGGTTCACAAGTGTGCTATGCAATTAGGAAGAGTTGCTAAGTAAATAATTACACGCTCCTGAACTTGGCATCTTCTTATGGCAGTTAGAACATAGTTAGGCTGGCAAATCCCAGAATACTACGAAATAGAAGGCTGTGGGCAGCTGCAACTGCTGCCTTAACACTTCCAGTGCTGTTACTACGAGTTGTTTTGGTCTACCCAGGAGCCATAAAGCAAAAATGTGGACATATATTTTGCAGCTTCCATGCTGTTTGTACATGTGTAAGTGCAGGAAAAGCCATATGTTTGTTTGTTTGTTTTTTAATGCATCTTCTGAGATGCAAACATGCAGCCTGCTGAGGGCTGGGACAGCTTTGCCCAGAGGCAGCCCATCCCACAGAGGTGTGCAGAACCTGCGGCAGCACGCTGCCATCCTGTGCTGCTGCTGCTCGGGGCTTTGTGGGCTGTAAGGGGAATGCCGTCTGCTTGTGGTCTTGCTTGGACGCTGTCTCCCAGGTAGGACAGGTGTGACTGGAAGCCCCTGGGCTTTTGTTCCTTGTCCTCCCTCTGCCATCTTCATGGGATGACGTGAGGAACCAGGCGCCCCTTCCCAGCCGCTATTTTCGGCAGGCATTTACTTTCCCAGCCTCTGCTGGCCGCCTGCCCGGAGGTGGGGAGGCTGGAGCGGGGGGGCTGAATCTCCCTCCTCCTTCATAAAAGGGCCCCGAAGTGGGGGCCGGGCCACGGGGTTATTTTTGGGAGCAGCTCCTGGGATCCGATGGCCTTGTTAGGGCAGTGCTGACCTCTCTGCGGGCGGGGAGGAGAGCAGCGGGGCGGGGGCTGTCTCGGGACCCCCCCCCCCCCCATCCCTCCCCTTCCTCTGGCCACGCTCGGCTCCCCGGGGCCCTCCACCACCCCCTGCCCTCCCTTCTCCTCTCCCCTCCTTGCAGTTTCTCCTTCGTCCCATCACAGTCCCCTTGGGCGGGTGAGGAGCACCCAGAGCCTTCTGCCATGGGGCAGCCGTGCCCCCACCTGCTGCTGCTGCCCGGCTGAAGGGAGCAGCCCGGGAGCGGGGGAACCATGAGCGGGGGCAGGTTCGATTTCGATGATGGAGGTGCCTACTGTGGCGGATGGGAAGGGGGTAAAGCCCATGGGCACGGCATCTGCACCGGCCCCAAGGGGCAGGGCGAGTACTCGGGCTCCTGGAACTACGGCTTCGAGGTGGTGGGCATCTACACATGGCCCAGCGGCAACACCTACGAGGGCTATTGGTCCCAGGGCAAGCGGCACGGCCTGGGGATCGAGACCAAAGGACGGTGGGTGTACAGGGGTGAGTGGACCCACGGCTTTAAGGGACGGTACGGCGCGCGGCAAAGCATGAACAGCGGAGCCAAGTATGAGGGTACCTGGAACAACGGCCTGCAGGATGGCTACGGCACCGAGACGTACGCAGATGGAGGTGAGGGGCTGTGTGGGGCGAGCGGGCGGCTGTGGCTATGGGGTGAGCTCTGCTGTCCCCATGGGTGAGGGCTGGGCATTGGCTGCCTCTGGCATCCCAGCAGCAGACCTTGCATTGCATGGCCTTTGGCTCCTTTTCCCACTGACTGATCGTTGCTGTTCACAGCTGAACCCCGGCCCCAGCTCCACAGGTTCGCGCCTGCAGCTGGCCTGTCCCCTCCTCATTGGGTGGCGAGCTGGGAATGTTTGTGCATTGGATAGAAGCCACCTCCAGCATCGTAGTGCACTTTGCCTATGTATTAAGTGCTCCTCGCACGCCTCCGGCTGGGTGCCTGGACATCTGTTTTTGCTGAAACGTGCTTATCAAAGCCATTTAAAATACTTAGCCGCATGTCTTTCCCTAAAATAAACCCTTTTGGCTCCTTTGGAACTCTCATTCTCCCATGGTGCGGATGTGTGCTGTGCTCTGTATGGGCTCAGTCTAATTGTGATGTTGCTTTAGTAGTAATTTTGGGGTTAGAAACATCGCAAGAATCTCTGTGCAAGTAATTCTGTAGCTCTTCAGTACTATAGTGTTCCACGCTGCCATATTTAGGATAGCTAAATAGAGAGGGTGATTTGGAAGAAATACGCTGCAAAATATGTATCAGAATTACATCTATATTTATCCAGGACGTGCGATAGAGCTACTTTGTAAAGAAAAATAACAGTAATGGTGCAGGTCTTCAGAATGAAGAGCATTGGATTTATAGCCCTTAGGAAAAGAGACCAATTGAGGGCATGGCTGTGGTGGTGCAGATTGCTGCAGGTTACTGTTAGCACCGGTCACTATGGTGTGGTACAGCCATCAGGTAGCTGTAAGCAGCATGGAACATCCTGTCTCAGCAACTGCACGAAGAACTCGAAGTATCACAGATTCCTCACTGCTCACTAGAAACGCATCCTTCCCCGGGGGTGCAGAGCTGCTGAATTTTGAGTTCATGTCATGGAGGGCAATGTAAAGAGGTGCCAGAGGAGTTTGAATGGAATTCAAGCTTTCTGTAGGAGTGTGAATTAGGTCTTGTTCTGAAAGCTTGAGGCAGAAGAAAGGTGAATACGAGGCTGCAGGCGAAGCCAGCCTGCTATTGCCAGCCAGCAAATCTGCTACATGGAGGTGGATGGATGTGACCAGGGGTTGGAGTCACTTCCAGCACAGGGCATTCTATGACTCCATGACCCGCAAGAGCTGCTCCTGTGTGGTCTCCTCACCTGTGCACATTGCAGCTATCTGCATGGCCCAGCTGAGGCCATGCTGCTGATGGGAGTCACTCATGTCTGAGCTGAGATTGCCATGGCCAACATCTGGACACCTCTGGTAACTGCCAGCCCTGCAGCTGAGCTTTGTGAGCCCTAGGTGCAGCCATGGAAGCACAGCAGGGCCCTGGGAGTGCTTGTGCACATGCAGAGCTTGGCAGCTCCTTGGGAGCTTCACAGCTGTGTGAGGACTGCAGGGTGGTGCAGCTGATGCTGGTGCTTTAGATTACATGTAATGTAAACCTCAAATATATACATTTATAAAATTACAAACTTTATGCTTTAAAGTGCACTTACAGGCTTGTTTGTGATTTGTATCCTGTGGCTGCCTGAGGCTGATGGCTGCATTAAGCCCAAATCTGGAGCAAAGCTGATTGAAATCTCATATTGATTTTTGGTAAGAAACGAGCTCCCGATGTAACTGAGCTCAGAGCTGGCCAGGCTGCTTTCTTCTTCTCTACCAAACACCTGTGGGAGGCTGATGACTTCAAGGGCTCTTCTTCTGTAATTCTGATTGAAGTCAGCCATGTGGTTCAGAGCTGCTAGTGTGCGTGGTCAGACAGAGGATCTCTATGGGACATTTCCTTGAGTGTCCCAGCTCAAAGCATGTGTGTGCTTGCTTCTGTTAGCAGAAAAGAGCTTGGAGTCCTTTGCAGGGACAGGGTAGGACAGATAAGCTGGCAGTGAATTGGGCTGTGCAAGGTAGAGCACAAAGGAACTCGTCATTTTGATGGGCTGATGGTTGGACTTAGTGGTCCAACTAAGACTCAGGGACTCTTTCCAACCTTAATGATTCTGTGGTTCTATGGTTTTATAACACAAGTTATGTGCAAACACGTGGCTGTTTGATTTCTGCCTTGAAGTTTTATTCCCCCTGTAAGGAAGCCCTCATTTCGGGGTACGTGCTTTGGCTCTGACTGCTCAACTCTGTCAAAACTTGCTGCAGGAAGTAGCATCGCTGCTAATGCAGAGTCTTACTGCTAATATAGGGGAGTCCTGCTCAGAGCTCTGCTTTGCTGTACAAATAACTGTTTCAATGTGGATCTATTCACAGATGGCCCACGTGCCCCATGGCAGCAGCGCCTCTTCACTGCAGGTCTGCGAACACAATGCTGCATTCCCTCCATGTGGCCAGGGCTGATAAAGTAGCTCATCAAAGGTCATGGGGCATCAGAAAGGGAGCGGGGACTCAAGTCCCTGTTTCCAGGTCCAGGACCCTGATTTCTGTTGACTGCTTCTATTGCAAAATAATTCAGCTTTCAGTATTCATCTGAATACTTCGCTACAGAGCTCAGTGTGACCCACGAGTTAATGCTGTGTCTTTCTATCCCTCTCCGTTTCTCTCTACTTTTCCTTTCCAACCAAAACCATGAGGTAGCACTGTCAGAGCCCTTCCCCTGCTGATGCTGGCACCCAAGGAAGCACTCAGTTTTTGCTGCTCTGTCTTGTACGTGGCCCCACGATGCTCCTGGCCTTTTGCACCACGTCTAACATGTCTGTCATCACTGTACCTGGGTAACAGCACATGATTGGAAGGCAGCAACACCATTGGAGCTGTCTGCATTATTTACCTGCCTGCGTGTGTTACTTACATTCACTGCTGGTTATCCCAGCACCTCAGGCAGGCTGGGCAGGCGAGATGCAGTGCTGATGGCAGCAGAAGCTGAAGCTTTCAGCTGGACCAATCCTGCTGCCATGTGTTCTAGGCATCCATAGGGAATGGATGTGCTTGGGGTGAAGTCCCTGTCAGTGCCGCAGCTCAGTCCTTCCCACCCTGTGAATGCAGGCACGGCTGCTCTCTGCTTCACTCAGACGAAGGCAGTGCTCCTTATACCTGGGCGTCGCAGAGGAAGCAGCATTTTATCATTCCAGCAAGAGAAAATTCAGGCAACAAGGCATAATTGGAGTGCTGTCCCTGTTCTGTTTTCTTTCACACATGCAGTTATTGGATCCCCACCCCATGGGCATCCCCCAGCAGCCCACTGCCTGCCCCCTCTCCAGAGCCAGCGCACACTGAACTGATCAGGCAGGTCCCTGCAGCAGAGAATTACAGCTCTGTTCCATTTATACCTGAAACAGTTTCTATTCCCATTCGCAGCTCTTTTTTAATTATTATTTTACAGAATCTCAGCTCCTTGTAAGCAGCTTGGTGGTGCCTGCATGTCCCCCATGGCACACATGGTATACTGTGGCCGTACCACTTTGATAGCCGTTTTGTGATTTCAAAGCAGTCTGCCCTCAGGATGCTTTATGCTATAAAGAAATCCTGGTGATGATGTTTCCTCTGCTGCAGTAGCCCCATGTCTGTGCTGCTGGTGGGAAAAGAGGGTGTTTCTTCCCACAGAGGGAAACTGAGTCAGGAAAACATGAAATGTATTGGCCAAGGCTGCTTGTGGCTTGATGGCAACAGTGGAGAGGGAACCCAGGAATATGAACTCTCCAAGGCAGTGCTTTTCCTCTGTGCTGCCAACTTCATGTTGCTGACGCTCCATTGACTGTGAGTCTGGGCTCAGATGTCATTGGTATGGGCATAGGGAGGGATGGTGGTGCCCAGTACCTCCCCATGCCCATCCCAACCGTGTCCCCATTGGCCACAGTACCCACACGAGGAGGCTGTGACCTGTCCCAGCACATCGAGCTGCTCCCAGACCTCCTGGCTGTGCTCCAGGCTGATGGCTGTGCCCAGGCACGAAGCCTCAGTCAGCCACCATAAATCACAGTGCAACATGGACGTGCCAGTGAGCTCCAGCTCCCACCCAGCCAGGAGGTGCTGCTCAGGAGAAAGGATGGAGCTGGGATTGTTGGAGGGCTGAGCCTCCTAAGCCCATGAGACTTCTCTAGAATTCCTCTTCCAGGTGGTTAATTCAGCAGCGATATCAGATGCAGCCTGCTATGTGCAAGGTTGGCCTGTCCTCCAAGGAGGTCTCCAGTGTCAACACTATCGAGTGTCAGCCCCTCTCGCTGCCATGCAGGCAGGGATGGGGTGCTGAGTTCAGGGGCTCCTCATGGGGACAAGAGCAGGGCAGCACGTGGCACCTCCGTGTTAGGAAGATTCATTACCATTTTACAGAGCAAAATGTGGGGTTGGAAGGGACCTTAGAGTCCAACTATTTCCAACCCCCTGCTGTAGGCTGGTTGCCACCCACCAGATCAGGTTGCCCATGGCTCCATTGAACGTGGCCTTGAGCACCTCCAGGGAAGGGGCACCCACAGATTCTCTTGGCAAAGGCACCTTGCTCTGAAAGGCTGCTTCTGTGGCTGGTGCAGGTGCTCTGCAGTGTGTGAGCCCTCACTTTGGTATGTGGGGAGATGCAGCACTGCAGCAGCCAGAAATCCTCCATACCCCAGGCAGGGAGTGAGGGTGGCAGCCGGGGGCAGCAGCTGCTGCCTGCCTGGGCACTGCTTGCCTTTCCTGGCCCCCGAAACTGTAAGTTAACACCCCACAGGCGGGTCCAGAGAGGATTTCAACGAAACCTGAAGCTTCGGAGTAGAGATTATGCTGCAGAAGTGGCCTGGGAGAGCGTAAAATATGCACTCCCACCATCACCAAAGAAGGAGCTGCAATTGCTCCCTGGGGACCAGGGTCATCCCTGGTCTCAGTAACAGCATCTGAATGTGGGAATGAATGCCTGCAAGCCAAGTCACCCCTCCTTCTGAGCTGGCAGAAAGGCCTCGCTCCCCAAATGGTGGTGCCTCCTGGCAGCTCTCTGTTGCTGCTTAATGAAAAGCAGACTTTTTGGATACAAACAGTGAACGTGTCCCCTGCCCATGCATGGAACCAGGCCTGGGAGGGCAAAGAGCAGGGGGGGCCTTTTCCAAGGGTGTTTGTGCCCTCCCCAGAGCCCTTCACCCACAGTGTTTTGGGGCCAGATGGCCCCTTCCAGATGCCGGCTGATGGATGAGAGCAGAGCTGAATACTGCTTTTGTTTTGGGTGGTTTTGCTGGTTTCTGAGGCAACTGTATCTACGGAGTGAGGAGAGCAATGGGGCTGGGAGGGCTTAGGGCTGGGGAGCCTTCTCATGTCCCATCCTGAATGGTGCTATAGGGCTCGCAGCGTGCTTGGCAGGGTGGCTGTGTTGGTGCTGGTTCTCCTGCTCTTCCCAAGAGCTGTTCTGCTAATTTAAGTCTCTTGGCATCCTGGTGAGAAAATCAGAGCTGCTATCTCCAGTTTACCATTCTGGGGCCTGCAAAGATGCAGAGAGGGAAAAGACCAGGTTGGCAGAGAACTGTACTTCTCCCATTCCCCTGAGGTGTTCCAGTCCCGCTAGGTCTCAGTAGAGTCCCAAACCTGAGGTGTAGCCCCAGCTGAGGCAATCACAATCTCCTTTATGTTCCTCACTGTATGACATGTGCTCTCCTGAGCTGGGTCCAGAGAGGAGAGCAGAGCTGGAGGAGCCCTTCACGGAGATACGGTACTCCCTGCTTTGCTGTTTGTGTGAGTCTGGTCACAGGATCACAGGCAAGCTGTACCGGGGCAAAGCAGATGCTGAGGGAGTTCTGTCCCCTGCCAGCACCACCTCGTGTCTTCTATCCCTGCTCCCTTGTGGCTGCTTTTGCAGGTTGGCGAATGCTGCTGGATACTGGACTCAAGGAGGGCAGAGCGAGCGCTCCTGTCCCACGGCGGCCACCAAACCGCAGTGCTTTGCCCTCATGCAGCTGCTTCACCATCTGCCTCTTCTCTCCCACAGGAACCTACCAGGGCCAGTTCACCAATGGCATGCGGCACGGCTACGGCGTGCGGCAGAGCGTGCCCTACGGCATGGCTTCGGTGGTGCGCTCCCCGCTGCGCACCTCCCTGTCCTCCCTGCGCAGCGAGCACAGCAACGGCACGCTGCCGCAGCAGGACTCCCCCGCCGCCCACCCCGAGAGCCTGCCCGCCTCGCCCACCATCACCCGCGGCGGCTTCGCCCTCAGCCTCTATGCCGACGCCGAGGCCGGCAAGGTGAAGAAGGGGGGGCTGTTCCGCAGGGGCTCCTTGCTGGGGAAGCTGAAGAAGTCCGAGTCCAAGTCGTCGTTGGCCAGCCAGAAGAGCCGCGTCAGCTTCCTCAAGAGCGAGAGCGGGATCAGCTCGGCCGCCAGCGATGCCACCTCCACCGCCAGCCTGGGCGAGGGGGCGGAGGGAGAGGAGTATCCCCCCTTTGAGTCCGACATCGATGCCACCACCACTGAGACCTACATGGGCGAGTGGAAGAACGACAAGCGCTCGGGTTACGGAGTCAGCGAGCGCTCCAGCGGGCTGAAGTATGAGGGTGAGTGGCTGGACAACCTGCGGCACGGCTACGGCTGCACCACGCTGCCCGACGGCAAGAAGGAGGAGGGCAAATACCGCCACAACGTCCTCGTCAAGGGCATGAAGAAACGTGTCATACCTCTGAAGAGCGCCAAGATCCGGCAGAAGGTGGATCGGAGTGTGGAGGGGGCCCAGAGGGCAGCAGCCATCGCCCGGCAGAAGTCAGAGATCGCGGCATCCAGGTGGGTGCGTGGGGTCCTGGGGGTGGTGGTCACTGTCCCATGTGTCCCTCTGGACCGTAGCAATGGGGTCAAACGTGGCTCTCTGCAATTTCTGTTTAATTTGTTTTACTGCCCTTATGGCAGCTCAGTGATGGGTGTTCAGGACCTGCTGGGATGGGGAAGAGCTTCTAGCTTTCTGCTGTCTCCATCCCCTTTTTCAGCCTCTGAAGAGTCCTTGTAGCAAACACCCACACTGTGAAATCAGGCTCCAACCAAACTCTTTCCTTTTTCTCACCCTTCCCAGTCCTGTCCCCTACTCCCCTTGGCTGGGGGAGCTGATGACCGGTGGGGACTGGTGGGGACAAGGAGCTGGTGAGATGAGGGTATGTGGTGAAATGGTGGGAATCTGGTGAGATGGGATCGTCTGGTGCCTCACCAAGCTACCAGAGTGGCCATGGTGATGTTAATGGGGTTGCTGAATGTGGTAACCCCAAGAGGCTCATAAGCAGCAAGTGTCCCAAAGGAACACTGCAGCAAAGTGTTGCTCTGCCCTGGAGCCCATGGTATGGCAGGATGGGCAGTTCCAGACTGCCTCCAAGCTGGCATGGCATTTCAGCCTCTTGGTCTCTGAACTGGGGCTGTGGAGCCAGGGCAGGTCCGATGGGCAGGAGCAGCATGCATGGTGTGTGCTACAGTTCATGGCCACCCCTCAGTTTTCACTGCACCAGCAGAGATGCTTTGAGACCAGACAGGTGGGCAGTGCTCAGGATTAGCTGTGTTAACAACTAGCTGCAGAGGAAAGTGCTGATAGCCCCTTGTGTCCATGCCAGGATGAGACAGAGCAGCTCTGGGGGTGGCAGGGGAAAGTCCTGTTTGTGTGCCCCATCCCTGCGTGTGTCTGATCGGTGGCACTGTGTCTCTGTGGTTGGGATTGTCATTGCCCAGTGACAAGGACCCCTGGGGCTCACGGCACACAGATGGTGACCCCCTCCTTCTCTGCCACCATGATTCTGGGGGGCACACTGTGGCTGCGGGGAGACGACTTTTGCTGCAGTGCTGTGCTGCTTTGTGCCTTTTTAGGGTTTAGTTATCAAATTTGCTTTATTACCACGCAGTCATAGGAAATAATTGCCCTGGGGAAGGCTCTTTATTTTCAAACCCTGTCTCTGACTGCCTTCACAGCCCGGAGACGCCTCTGTGTTCCTGGCTCCAAAGTTTTGCAGGGAATATGATTGTTTTTTCTCCAAGCCCCGTTGCCTGAACAACCAGCAGAGAGAAACCATCCAGATTTCAGAAGTCATGCAGGGACAGCAGTGTCACAGACCTTGTCCTGCTGGGGAGGCTCCACCAATGCTGATCCCACTGTGCCCAGCAGCAGAGCATGGCAGCAGCACTTGTACCCTGAAACAAGGAGGCTGGAGCTGCAAAAGCCGCTCCGTGAGAAGTCAGTCAGTTTATATAAGCCTCTTTTTATTATACACTATTTACACATTGGATCAAAAGCGGCTGTGCAGCACTTTCCATCAGGGGCTGGAATGCAGCTGCTGCCCTCGCAGGGGACCGCATCCCTCCAGGCATGGCTGGGAGATAATTTCCTATTAAGGAAACCTCAGAGCTGGAGGAAATCAGAGGTTGCACTGCACTGCACTGCACTGCTGGGACGTCTTCCCTTCTTAGGGCTCGTGGAAGCGCAGTGCTGTGCAGGGCTGCTTTCCCTTGCAGTCCCAGTGGTCTTCAACCCACCTCAAAGCCAACACTTGTCTTCTCCTGGCTGCGGGCTGCAGCTCACCCTTTCTATCCGCCTTCACTCCTGGGGTGTGCTGCTCTGGCTCTGCTGCTGTCTTGTAAACAGCCGCCTCATGCTGTGCTCCTTCTCCCTCCTGCTCCACTCAGCCCTGGGATCAAGTATAAATATAAATAATTTTGCCTAGAAATGGTCCTAGGAAGAAATCCCAGCTCTGTCACCAACTTTCTTTTGGCTTTGAACTTTGCCTCAGTTTCTACACCCACAGCAGAGAATATTTGCATGCAGGCTGTGAAAATAAATTACTGCAGCTTATAAAGGGCTGCGCTATTGTTAATGTCTCCCCAGCCCATAACTACAAAGTGGAGTTCCCTAGATTGAGTATTTATATTACTCCTTGCGGGGCACCATGTGCCTTACATGAAATGTCTCTGAAGCCACATGAATTGCTGTTTGGGGGGAACACGATGTCTCCATGCAATTACTGCTAGGAACTAATTGCCGGGACTGAGCAGCTGGGCTGTACCATACCTGGCTGCCTCCATGTGCCCCTGTCATTGTGTGCGGTATTTGGGTTCCATTTGCTTCTGGCACTTGAGGGAGCCCCTCACGGAGCTGAGCTAACATGCAATCCAGCTGCTGGGGAGTGTAGAGGAGAATTCACTCTTTTACACCATAAAAGGCTCTTTAAGACTTAGAAATTCAGAGGAAAACAAGCCCAAGTGCTGAGGCTGCCTCTGTTGGTTGTACCGTAGGAATCTCAGGCACGTGACCACGCTGGGATGCTCAGGCAGGCAGTACTTGTGCTGAGCAGAGCCAGGGAACGAGCTGTGCTGGTGTGTGAGTGCAGCGGGAGGGCTGCAGGCAGCTCTGGTCCCAGTGCCTACTGGGCTCGAGCACTCTGGGTGGCTCCTGCCCACTCCAGTGCTGTCTTACCCTGCCTGGGTCCCTCCTGAACCCTCTGGTTGGAAATCCATCTGCTTTCCACCTGTGCGAGGAGCTGAGGATGGAAATGGCATTGATTTGATGGCTGTAATGGAATGGGATAGGGTAGAATAGAATGCAAGGGGAGGGGCAGGGCTGGCTGCATTTTGAAGTTTGATTTCTGAAGCTGTGCACTCAGTAGCTGCACAGCTCACAGGAGCATGTATTTCCTTCTTGGTGGGGCTTCTGAGGGACAAAATCAGTGTCTCTGTCCCAGTGTAGCAGTGCCTGCTGTGATCTCCTCTGCATGCCATTGTGCTTCCCACTGACTTGGACTAAATTCAACAAAGGGACTTTGCCATGCGTCCTGCATGGCGTGGGCCTGGCCAGGCTCTAGCTACTTTGACGGGTACGTGTCCTGCTAACAGCACTAAAATATGTCTGTCGGAAGCTGTAGGGCCAATGGGAAAGTGAGGTATAAGGGACAAAGGATGCTGGTGTGCTTCACCTGTTATCTATAAATGCTGGCCCTGAAGTCTGAGCAGCTGGATGTTCTGTGACTGGAGGACATAACTAGGAATTATCACATTCTGAAAATTTTTTGAATGTACAGCTGCCCTGCAATCCTGCCACTTGGATATATAAGCCCTCAACTCACATCCATGGCCCCGTATCTCTTCCCAAAGCTGCCCTGCCAGCCGTCCCACTGCTCCCAGCCTTCCCAAGCCTCAGCACTCGGGCTCGTGGAAGGTGCAAATGACGTCCGGGAATCGCTGCAGTCAGCACAGCGTCCTGACTAAATAAGGGAGTGCATAGCAGAGGTTTATCAGCGCTGCCGGGTGCGACAGCTGGGAGCCATGGCCAGCAGCAGCCCCAGCTCGGCTGCAAGTTGCACCGTGAGGTGCTCTGCCGGGCACTGCTTGTGTGGGAGAGCAGCAGAGCATCCCAAATTGCTGCACCTTCACCCTTCCTTCATCCCTCCCTGCAGCCGCCTCCTCTCCAGCCAGCCTGGCTGCAGCCATGAGCTCTGACAGACACATTTTTGGCCAGGACTGGCTATTGGGCTGAAATATGCTTTGACTTCAGCGCAGGGTGCGTGTGGCTTTGTCTTGCTCCCCTCCACCTCACGTGGATTTTCTGAGGCTCGTTCATGCTGTAGTAAGGTAACAGAGGCCATGCGCTTCCAACAGCTCTAAGGAGAACGCAGCCGTTGGTGGCGGAGAGCTTTCTTGGGTTTTCCAGGGCCTTTGGGACTTACTGGGATCCCATGAGAGAGTAGGGTTGGACATCAGTGGGTACGGCCTAGCCAGTGGGATTCATGTCTGACCCAGTGGGAAATCCTTATCTCAACAGCTTGCAAACACTCAGAGGGAAAAATGAAGTGAGACTTCAATCTGGAAAATGGCTGGAAAATGGCAGCTTCATGCTGAGTCCCCTCCGAAAGGTTGGGAGCTGGGCTTGAAAATGGTTGGCTGCAGCCAGGCTTTGCTCAAGGTTTATCGTCACTTCTGTGGTACGTGATAGAGACTGATATTGAACAATAAAAAATATAGGAGTAAAATGTCTGATTCAAATACAGAGCCTGAGATACAGAATCCCCCTCTCCTCGTGGCGCATTTGGTTAGCTTAAGCTGGTGCCCAGCAAGAGCCCTTCGGTTGTCTGAGTTCCAGTTTTTGTAGCTTTGCCCCTTTGGGACCTGCTGAGATGTCCCCATCCCCTCACGTGCCCCGCAGCTCTGGTGCAGGCGTGCAGGAGCTATCCTAGCTCACAGCCTCGTCTCTTTGTTCCTCTGGGTTCAGACCTGTGAATATCAACTTGAGAGACAAAGAGGCTGGTAGAAAAATGCTCCTGCCTTAGACTGATGAATCACTGGGCTTCTGACCAAATACAATATTTTAAGAAATACGCCTGCTTTCATTTCCTTACAAAAAAAAAAAAAAAAAATAAATTCCTGTTATTCCTTTCTTGACTGGGAAAAAGAAACACCAAAACGTAGCCTGTGTTTTCTCACTCTCTGGATTTAGATTATTAAAAACTGAAAAGAGAACTTGAAGTAGAAGTTGTTCAGACTTCCAATTGAAGAAGCCAGTAGTGCCACAGAGAGAATGCCCACCTCCTGACCCAATCCAGGGCTGGCACTCAGCTAAAGCTCACTTGGGTTGCAATGCTGCCTATATGGCAGAGCTCTTGGGTCAGGCTGGGCTCTCTCGAAACCAGTGAGCGCTGCTGCCCTCCTGCTTCATTGGGCCAACCCACTGTGATGTGGCTGGATCCATGCCCTGCTCTGCCCAGGCAGAATGGCCCTAAACACCTGCGCGGTTGGTCAGCAGCAGCAAATCTGCTTTTTCCCCCCCCAGACATCCCTGCAGGTGCTCTTGCTGCAGGACCAGGGTCTGTAGGTCGTCGTCTTGCAGACAGCTGCATGTCTGTCTGCTGTGAGATTAATGTCACTTTAACCGTTCTGAGGGGAAGTATCCCTTGGTGAAAGGTGCAAGTAGCTTTGAGCTATTCAGAGCTAAGGATAACATTTCGGTATTTTAAAAATTTACCATGTAATCATAAAGGCTAATGCTTGCTGAAATCGTTAAGTCGCAGCGAGCTCTGCCAGGTGCTCCTGAAGCAAAGCACAGTGAAGGATGCTTCTCTCCAGACAGAATGGACTGTTTGTGCTCCTTATGCAGGAAGCAATGACGAGAGGTTCAAAAAGTTCACAAAGCAAAGTTCACAGTGCCACTGCTTCAGTATAAGTGCTGGTGCAGCCAGTAAGAATTCCAGGGTACCTCATGAGCTGGCTGTCAGGATTGTTCTGCAGGCCAGGGTGGTTCCTCTTTGGGGATTTCCTTTACAGTGATGTGGATGTTTCCCATAGGAGGCAGTTCGTTTTGCTTTATGCACAGATCACACCCTGCAGGCACAGAGACCATGATATAAACCAGCACAGTCTGGGAGTGTCAGAGTCTAAACTGAATAGGTATGTGCACACAAATGATAGAATAAGAAGAGCAATAGGACAACAAAATGTATGCCTGGCTGCTGGAGAAGGATGCCCGTGGGTGGGTCCACAGATGGGTGACACTGGGACACGGAATGTGGCACAAGAGATGAAACAAAAAGGGGGTTCCAGTCCCATGGGCTGGATACAGGCAAGTGGGGATAGTGGGTAACAGAAGTGTGTTGGCATCTGTGTGTGTGTGGAGGCAGAGATAGAGACACAAAGGAGATTGAAGGGGGGTAAGCAGGAAGAAAAGGATGGCCTCAGTGCCAAAGGTGGTGCGGAAAATGGAGAAGCCAGAAAGCATCTGTCCTGCTGTGCTCTGTTTGTCCTCTTCCCTCGCAATGTGAACACAGAAGCATGGAAGGGACCACACTGCCATCAGCAAAAGCACTTCTGCGGCTTTCCCTCTATCTCTTGAGTGCTGCTGGCATCCCTGCCAAGACAAACTGTTATCTGAAGGTTCTTCAGAAGGACAAAATGCCACCAGCATGACCATGGAAGCATGCTGAACTTCCCTATGCTCTGTACGGCCGTGCTGACAGCATGGCATTTAGCCCAATTTGCACACTTGTCCCCGCAGGACCTGAATCCAGCACAGGGCAGTTTGCTGTACTGATGGGACAAGGAGTCCTTGGAGAGGGAAGGACAGTGCTGGATAGGTTTGTGTTTCTCTGAGTACATGGATGTACAGCAGCTGGGGCATAGGGCTCAGGTCTCCCCCTGCTCCTGGCCGCAAGGTCATTGCTGCACCTGCAGGTACCCCAGCTCTCCTGGTATTTGCAGCATTCTCTGCTAATTCCAGCTTCATTTACAGGCTAAGCCAATGTGGATGTGCAAAACCACATAAACTGTCTGAAGAGACGTCCCTGCTGGCGTGGCTCTGGGCCTCACCTGTTAGCACAGCGCTCAGCTGCGGCTCGTGTGTCTGCAGGGGATTTCAGCAGCAGTCAGGAATGAAGCAGGCAGTGCTGCTGGGACAGGGCCAGGGAGGATGGGAGTGGAGCTCTGTCTGCACACTAATACAAAAACGATTAGAGCATTAGAGCCGTGCCAGGGGAGAAGTGAAGCATTTAACTCCCTGCTCCCAGCGTCCTGCAGCAGTCACTGCAATCCCTGAGATTGCTCTGGTTGGGAATAGGGAGCGCTTGTCCCCACCCCGTGCATCCTTTCTTGGGTTGGGGAACACCAGCACTGGTTTCTGAGGGCTCCTCTTTGTGTTCTTGGCCCCCGGTTGGGTACATGCTCACAGCTTATTTGCCAGCACTGCTTTGAAGACAGGCTTATGAATGCTGCTGCTGGTTGTGCCCTGGGCTCTCCCTGGGTGCCTGCTATTTGTCTGCTGCTCTGCCACTGTGGCCACGTTTCATTCTGCATCGACCTCCCCTCCCCGACGCTGCCAGGATAAATAATGCATTCAGAAATACTCTCTGAGACTTGATGTTATTGTTATGGCTGGGCCATTCCCTACAAGCTGTGCATTGTCACGGTGCTCCAACAGAGCTCTGTACTGTGGAGCTGTGCTGTCACCTCTAGCACCATGTGTTGTCACCAGGCATGCCAGGATCCATCTGCACCCCTTCGGTTCCACGTCAGCACAAGTGCAGCTCTACTTCTACTAGCAGAGGGAGCAGACTCTGCATCCAGTCCACTGCCAGGCTACTTCTTTGGAAGTTATCTCTAGGAACCCTCTGCTTCCAGGTGCTGCCCATTTCCTGCAGGGTCTGAAAAGTGGCCAGGAGACCCTCTGCTCACCAAGTGGCTGAAAAGGAAGGTTTTACCCTTGTGTGGTGAATCCCATCCCAGAGCAACAGGACAAAGGCAGGGGCTGGAACACATCCTTTGGGGTGAAGAGCTGATCTCCCTGTTTGGTGAGCTTGTCTGTGGGCTGGTATCATGCAGGCTTGTGCTTCCTGGGATTTGCTGAGCCCACTCTGATCCCTGGGCATGGAGAACACAGAGCCACCCCCTCAGCCCCTGCCAGACCTCAGTGGAATTAATCACACTGATTACATGCTACCAAAAAAGGAGGTGATTTCACTGTTGCGAGCTGCTTCAGACCCCCTGCTTGTGAGCAGTGGCTTAAAACTGCTGTCTTCTCCCTCATCACGTAGCCTCTTTGAGTTTAAGAATTTTGGATAAAAAGACCAAGAATGACAGCAATCCCAGGCAGCTCAGCCTGCAGAGAAAGCAGGAGATAAGGTGTGGGTGCAGGCAGGGGTGAGCCACGTCTGCAGCAGTGGGATGACGTCCCAGAGAGACGCCGTCCCGGGCACAGCAGCTCCACATCCTCTGCTCTATCTCAGGGCACTGAGCAGCATTTTCGGCTCCCTGTCAAGTCACACCGGTGCCTGTATCAGTTGGGATTAGTGCCCTGCCTTTAATTCTTTCCCTACAGCTATCCAAAATAACTTGTGTGCGTATGCACGTATATATAATCTTCTACTCATCAGGGGTATCAGAACAGCATTTCTATCACCTTTCCATTGCAGCTGTCAAGTTTTCAGAGTAAAGTTAGTTTTGTCTGCATGCTGCATCTGAGTTTAATGGGAAAGGACCAATGAAATTCCAACCTGAGTTTGAAAAGTCTGGGTATCATTTAAATAGCTCGACAGACATTGTATGACCTCATTAAACTTGTAATAAAGTGGTGTTGAAGGGCTGCTAACTGCACATCTGCTCAAAAATAAGTGGTTTTGCACTGGTGCTGCCAGTGCATACTCTGCTGCATGCAGCACGGGAGACAGAGGGAGCCCTGGGAAGCATTAAGGCATGGGGAAAGCCTCCATGAGCCACAGGTGGAGCAGACCAACTGAGCATATGGTGCTTCACCCTCCCTAGTTTTTAAGGTGTGATCCTACTGTTTGAAGTCAGTTCTCTCCCAGACTGTGAGCAGCTGGGCTGCAAAGCTTGCCCTACTTTTAGCATAAAGATCATAGGCCCTTGAGTGTGTGGTATGTGAGGAATACAACAGCCGGCAGGCAGAATAGCTGTGATGGCCCTAGAGAGCAAGCAGGAGGCCCGAGAGAGCTCACAAAGTGAGGCTGTGAGGGAAGCAAAGGCTATGCCTTTCCAAGCATTTGTGCCTGCTGTGAGCAGCCCCTGGATTGCTGCAAGCAGAGAATTCCCTTGGACAAGCCAGAGTTTGTTGCTGAAGAGCTCCAGGAGTGTAATTTGGGGTGAAATGTGTCAGCAGTACTGACAAGAGGCATGCTGCTGCTGGTGAGGTGCAGCAGCTCACTCAGAGGTGGTGACAATGCAGTGGTGCCCAGCCATCACCTTGCTGTCCCTCTGTGCTCCTGTGAAGTCTGCAAAGGTACTTCAGACATTCCTCAGAGTGGGCATCTTCATGAATTGCAGCATGGCAGCAAGTCCATTTTGCACCATCTGCTGCCTCCCTGCAACATGTGAACATGCTCATGTTTGCAAATATATCTGCTCCATTTGCTGGTCACACCTCAGCCTTAAACACTTTGTGCCCCTTGCTGGAATTCTGCACTGATGTCAGCTCAGATAGCACTCACTCTTGTCCCCTCTTCTCTCTGCAGGACTACTCATGCCAAAGCCAAGGCTGAAGGCTCTGAGCAGGCAGCTCAGGCAGCTAACAACGAGTCGGGCATAGCCAGGATGATGGCCAGGGAACTTTCCCCAGACTTCTACCAGCCAGGTAAGACAAGAGGCTTCTTCTAAGGGATTTCACAGTTTCCTTGGGGAATCTGTTCCAATGCTTCTCCCACTTTATATCTCAGGAAGCTGCCTTTCTATCTAAATCGGATCCACTTTTGCCCAAGTTCAGCCAGCCCCTTGCACATGGGAGATTTGCTGATCTTACACTGCTGTTTTACCTGTTACAAGGTGTTACTATAGCCTGGAGGAATTCTGCAGCCCTCCAAGCTCCCTGCCTCTTTCCCCCCATTATGAGGCCCTCCCAGTGTCTTCCAGGGCCAGCAGAGAGCTGGGAGCCGTCTGCAGCACTCCTGTGAATGCACTCCTTGAGCTGCAGTGGCTTTTTCTTGGAACAGCTTTGCACATTGACTCATAGCTCATATCCTGTGAGGACACAAACTGCACCAAGAGTGCAGTCAGGTTCAGCTAATTAGGAGCTGTAATATCCTGTACGAAAGTTGATAATGCAAAATATTATTTCCTTAATCTCCTATATATTTGTTCGCATCACCATTTATTACATGGCTGAGAAAACACTGGAGAGGTTCCTTCTCTAAAAGCAAGCGCTGGAGATTAGTAGATAGGAAGTGTAGTGTTAGAAGCAGCACTGTCAATGCCATTACCTTTCCCTAGAACAGACTAGATAGACCTGTGTTTGGGAAGTTTTCATTTTCATAGAAGGGAGGTAATAGCAGAGCAAAAAAACCAGATCCAAACGTCTATGTTTCATAACCTATCTTCCTTATGATGTGATTTTGTTACCTGGATCAAATGTCCAGCATCTGTCACAGCATCAAAACTGGGGATAGAAGCCAAACGCTGCCTGCTACTCTACACTTGATCTTAGCCAAAAGGCCGAGAAGCGATGTGGAGGCCGGTAACAAGTGGTGTCCCCCAAGGGTCTGTCTTGGGACCGGTGCTCTTTAACATCTTTATTAATGACATCGATGAGGGAATTGAGTGCACCCTCAGCAAGTTTGCTGACGACACCAAGCTGAGTGGTGCGGTTGATACGGTGGAAGGAAGGGATGCCATTCAGAGGGACCTCGACAGGCTGGAGGGCTGGGCTCGGGTGAACCTAATGAGGTTCAACACGGCAAAGTGCAAGGTTTTGCATTTGGGCCGGAAGAACCCCAGGCACCCGTACAGGCTGGGAGGAGTGGTCCTTGAGAGCAGCTCGGCAGAGAAGGACCTGGGGGTCCTGATGGATGAGAGACTGAACATGAGCCAGCAGTGCGCTCTGGCAGCTCGAAAGGCAAATGGGATCCTGGGCTCCATCAGGAGAGGGGTGGTCAGCAGGGACAGGGAGGTGATCGTCCCTCTCTACTCGGCTCTTGTGAGGCCCCATCTGGAGTACTGTGTCCAGGTGTGGAGCCCTCAGTACAAGAAAGACATTGAGATTTTGGAAAGGGTCCAGAGGAGGGCGACTAAGATGATCAGGGGGCTGGAGCACCTCCCCTATGAGGACAGGCTGAGGGAGTTGGGCTTGTTCAGCCTGGAGAAGAGAAGGCTGCGGGGTGACCTCATTGCAGCCTATCAATACCTGAAGGGAACCTACACCCACGAGGGGAGTAAACTCTTCAAAAGGGCTGACAACAGCAGGACTAGGGGAAATGGATCGAAGTTGAAGGAGGGAAGATTTAGGTTGGATGTTAGGGGGAAGTTCTATACAAGGAGAGTGGTTAGGCCCTGGAACGGGCTGCCCAGGGAGGTTGTGGATGCCCCGTCCTTGGATGTGTTTAAGGCCAGATTGGACGGGGTCCTGGGCAACCTGATCTGAATGTGTGTGTTTGGTGGCCCTGCTAGGCAGGGGGGTTGGAACTACATGATCCTTGAGGTCCCTTCCAACCCGGGTGATTCTGTGTGATTCTGTGTGATTCTGTGTGCTACTCAGCAGAACCTGCTGCTCTGATTGCAGTGCCTCCACGCTGTGGCAGTACCTCAGCTCAGGACAGGCAGCAGGAACAGCACACACCTGGTGCTCAGCCAGACAGACACATTGACATATTTGCTGAAATTCCCTGCGTGTCCAACTAGTCCTGCACCTACTAGCTAGGGAGACAGAGCAGTGGAGTGGTTCCCCTTCCTCCTGCTGCACTGCAGGGCCTCAGAGCTGCCTTTGGGCTGGGAACCACCACAGTGGCTGGGCACAGGCATGAGCCAGCATGTGACACTTCATTTAACAATAGCTAAACATCACTTGATCCTGGCATAAGCCTCTCAGCTGCCACTCACAGCTCCACATCCACCCTTTGCACACTGGGGTATTTATAGCGCAGAAGTATCAGAAACTGAAATTCCTGCTGGAAGGTTTTTGACATCTAGCTGGAGCACTTCTTCCACCTGTAGCGACTGAATGAGACAAAAGAAATGGTCTCTGCACAATGGGTCTCCTGGCCATGCGTGAGGCTGGTGTGTGTTTTTCTTCTACAATCCTTTTTAATCTCTACATTCACTAAGTGATCAGAATATAACAAGGAGGGATGTATCTTCTTTCAAGGCTGCACCTTCCAAGAACAAAAACACAGAGATCCAACATGCGCATCTTTAATAAGTATTTAGCTCTGGGCTTCCTTTAGGATGTTAACCCTAAAGACCTGGAGGGGAGTGATGAAAGCCAAAGTTCTTGCTAAAATGTTCTGGGAGGTGAAGGAAGTGAAGCGGATGCTGGGGAAGGGAGGAGGATTGGGCTGTGCCGTCCCCTCCAGGCAGCTGGGAGTTTTGGTGTTATTTAGGAGGAGAAGAGAGCACCAAGAGATAGCAAGGAGCCCAGAGCTGCAGGCAGCCTATTTTGAGGAGTCTGAACAACTGTTGAAAAGGCTTCCAAATAATCCATTTGCAGCCAGAAATAAATGGCCCTGAATGGGTTGCCTGCTGATTGACAGGAGCGTGTAGGCAAGACAGAGCAGCTAAAATCAGTGCCCTCTCTCCCTACCACCCCCTCAGAGCAGAGACATGGCCCTGAGTGGGCAGGAGTTAGCAGCGTGCAAATCACACCCATGATTTATTAGAGGGAATGAAGCACCAATCTCCAATTTCCAGAGTAGGGTCAAGTCTGCGCTAGTCCTTGGGGTGGAGGAGAGGAGGGGAGGAACCATGAAGCAGCTGGGGACAGTGTGGCTCCACGGTCTGTGCTGTTCAAGAGCGCGTGCCAAGGCCTGTATGTCTGCACTTCTCAAAATTACTAGGATTCAGCAGAATGAGACCAACACCATTTCCAAAAGCAGGTGCTTTCTTTTGGACTTGCTGATTTGCAACCCCACGATGCCTATAAGAAGCACGCTCATGTTCTCTTTGCTACAGGCATTGCAGGGACATGTAAGGGCCCCTGCAAGGTCCCATTATGCAGAGCACTGTTGTTTTTCAGGCTTTTCTGGTCATTCCCTGGTAGATTTTGCTCTGCTAGCACCACAGAGTGAAGGACTGCCCTCAGTGTCAGGCTGTGCTTGAATTCCTCAGTGATTTGCTTTGCAGACCTGGCCCAGGGTTAACAAGAAGTAAAGATTTAATGATAACTGAAGTGACAGCAACGTTGCTAAGAGCTGACAAGTCAGCATTGGAGATGTGGCCAGAATGAAACCTGAAGCCCCGAGTCACCTTGTGTGATGGTGCCAGCTGATTTTGCTGGTGTCTGTGTCAGTGCAGAGAGGAGGGCTGGCCCTCACTGCAAGCCCCAATCTGTGCATAAGAAACATGTTTTTCCCATATAGCACAACAGAAGATGGATCACCTGGGGATACCTCCCTTTCTTGAGGAGGCAGGGCGCCTCCTCATGTAATTGTTTGTTTCCACTCTGTTAGACACCAAGGAAGCCACAGTGAAGAGTTTTCCAGCCAGGAAAAAAATGAGAAAAGAAAAAGAAAAAGCTTGGGTGAGAGCTTGATCCCTTTAGGCTCAGGATAATCCTTCTGTGTCACTCCAAACCACAGAAAGCTGGGGTGCAGATTTTTAGTTCTTCTGAGTTTCATGTGGAGCTCCCGGCTCGCTCCTCCGTGCAGGGCAGTGCGAGGCAGGGATCTGCATCTGAAGGAAATCCCTTCTGGAAACAGGCTCTGCTTTGGGGCAGGCAGTGGAAAATGCAGCCTCACTCCGTTCTCTCGGGAGCTTGTTCTAGCCCAAAAGGGGAAAAGCACAGGGTGAGTTTGAAGCTAAAAAAACATGACCTGAGACAGCCAGGGTTGTTTCTCAGGGGAAGGTGACAGCAAGGTGCTGCGAGCCCTGGGTTTGGGCTGGTGTGCTTTGTTCTCTGATGGGGTGCTGGCATGTGGAGCAGGGAGCCAGGCCCTGCTGCCTCCCCCAACCCTCTCCCAATGCCCCTCTCTCTGCAGGCCCCGAGTATCAGAAGCGGAGGCTGCTGCAGGAGATCATGGAGAACGCAGAGCACGCCGTCAACATGGAGGAAGCGACACCCCCTCAGCCCAAGGGCGCCCCGCCACCCCCAACGCCCCCTGAGAGCCCCCAGCTGCACGAGCAGGACGAGGCTCCCCGCCGCCGCAGCCCGGCCCCGAGTCCCGCCGCCACCCCTCCGGAGGCCAAGCGGGCCAAAGCACAGCAGGATGGAGCCCCGCGGCCTGGCAGCTGGGCCGGGCCGGGCAGCGGCGGGGCTTCCGATGGCGAAGGCCGGCCGGCCTCACGTGGAGCAGCAGCACGGCCTGCGGAGCAGATGGAGATCAGGCCGCTGCAGCGCATGGCGCGCGAGCCCGACGTCGAGCACTACAAGGGCTACCACAGCTACGCCGTCAGGACACCCCCGGTCTCCCCCGCTGCGGACTATGAGGAGGAGCCTCTCTCTGAGCATGAGCCGCCATCCCCGGAGCCCCAGGGAGAGCCTCGGAGGCGCGGGGGCACCCCGGTGCAGACGCAGGAGCCCGCAGAGAGGCACGCGCCCCAGGCGGAGGCCAAGGCGGAGCAGCCGCAGCCCAAGGAGCTCAAGCAGCCCAGGCGGCGGCCCAGCCCTGAGCGCAAGGCAGTGAGCAGGAGCGAGCCCGCTGCCGACAGAAAGACTGAGGGCCGGGCGCCGGGCCGGACGGAGCACAAGGCGGGGGCCAAGCGGAGCCCAGCCCCGGTGGCGGTGGTGGCAGCAGCGCAGGATGCGGAGGAGGGTGACGAGGTGAGGTGTGGTGGTGCATTGGGACCAGCGGGATGTGGAGGGGCGGCTCTTGGGACAGCTTTGCAGCAGCAGCTCTGTTCCTTTTCCGTTGTAGGAACTGCTTTTTTTTCAGCCTTGTTTTTCCCCTTTTGATTTTCTCCCCAAAGAGCCTGGAGTCTCAGGGCTGCAGTCGGCACAGACAGGCATCTAGGGGCTCTTTTTGGGCCCCCACAGCCTTTTGGAGGAGACTCTCCGTTTTCACCTGCCGGATTTGTCTCAGTATGGGCTCTAAACATGATTTGGGACCAGCTTCATGCAGACCAAAATGCTGGGGGTCAGCCCTGGGCTGGGCGACCTCACAAATACCTTTGGAAACTTTTCCCACACTGCTCAGTCCAGAGGGCCCCTCGAGATCTGTGGGGGCACAGAAGGTCATTTCCTCCTGTCCTTTCCGTGTCCCCGGCCATGAGGGCTTCCATGGTTGGTCCATTGAAGTAAGCCTGGAATTTCAAAATTTGAGGGAAACAGACATTTTGTGAGTTTTTTTTCCCTACATTCTTCCTGATTTCCCACCTTTTTGCATGAATTTGGAAAGTTTGGAGGAACATGAAGGATGTGTTATTTTATCCATTACTTCCACTCCATAGGGGCACCTTACGAGCTGATCCATGTTATCAAATCACTGATTTCTTGGATTTAAAGAGTATTCCCTGATATTCATTTTGCTGTGAGCAAATGCAGCTGTAATGCCTTGCATTTTGTTAGCCTGCTTCTTCTCACAGTCCTTTTGACACAGACAATTCCATTGTGACTTTAGAAAAAGCACCGCTTGGAAATATTTTAGTCTGAGATAAGAGCACACAGATGGATTTGTTCATCCTGAAAGTGGCAGCTTTACAAACACAGATTATGTGTTTGTAAGGAGAAAGGAGTTCAGAGGAATAAGTTGAAATGGGCTTAGCTTTTTCTCTGCGTGTGGCCAGGGTCTCCCTTAAGACATTTGCAGGGGAGAAATAGGAGTAGAGTAGTGATAGGTAGGCAGTGGTAGATATTCAATTAGTTTGACATTGAGGCCAGATGCATGTTCATTGGGAATGGGTGATTTTCATATATTTGAGCAGCAGAATCAAGGCAGCTCTATCAGGTCTCCTCACTTAAAACTATGCTGTATAATACTCCGTCATTATTTTTTCTTTCAGGGACCTAACACAATTGTGATCTGCATGGTCATCTTACTGAACATTGGTCTAGCCATCCTATTTGTACATTTTTTGACATGAGGTCCCCTTCAGACAAGGTAAGAAAGTCGGTGAGATGTTGTCCTCAATTTGTAGACCTCGCTGTGGACATTTTATAGTTGACGAACTTTACTGCCAACACAAGCTGTTCATTGACAAGTGCACTGGTGATAGAAATATATGAGCATTTATTCAATAGGTGTTGAGATTCTCAGTTATCTCTTGTTTATTCCAAAAGTGATCTGTGCAGTAATTTCAGTGGGTATTTATTGATTTCCTCAAAATTGAGCTGTTTTTATTGAATGCAGTCCTGCAGCGTAGTTTTGCCTTCCCTGTTGGAAGGATGTGGTTCAAAGAATGAGAATTCCAGTGTGAGAATGCACTCAGCCCAGCAAGAGGCAGAAGCACAAAGAAAATGTGAAACTGGAGTTTTCAGATCTATTTGCACCAGTGCCAGTACCACCACTGTTGTTACGTACTTGAATCACTAAAGATCAGTGTGAGCTGCAGCGTGTATCTGACTAAAGTTAAGCTGGAGCTTGCTCAAGTCTTCCACCTGAGTTAGGATGTGGGCTTGCATTTGAATTTTGCGGCAGTAAAATCTTGTGAGGTTTCTTGTGGCTGTGGGGTTTCTAGACACAGGAATGTATTGTAAGTTTGCACAAGATTTTTGTCACCTTGGGCTTAACTATTCCTAAATCAATCTATCAGGGCTGAGCCTGACCCTTGGGCCTCACAGGAACAAAATGCAAGGTGCTCCTCCCATACTTCAGTGCAGGCTTTTGTCTTCAGGGCTGAAACTGCAGGGCACTGCTTTCATTGGTGCTAGTTGCCACTCAGCCTGCAGAGATGAAAGCTATGCAAACAGCAATGGTTCTGTGTTGATTGCATGTTTTGCTCCCCCTTAACTCTCCCATTTATCTGTGTCTGGGACAGGCATCGCTGCTCACTGAGACCATGGACCTTGGTGGGGATTAAATCTCAGTCACCTGGAAACACCTATGAGGAGGACTTGAGATCCCAAGGTTGCACTGCAAACATGAACCTTAAGTAAAAGTACCTGAAGATCCTCCGTTCAGTCTCCCTGCTCCCAGGCTGTGGCTGGCCTCTGCAATCTACCAAGAAAAATCAGAATTTCTACAACTTAACCTCCTTCTCTTCTTTGTATAAAGTAGCAGTTGCCTTAAATTATTCTCACCAAAGCCATCTACTGCCCTGTCGTGCCAGGGATGAGGAATTTATCTTTAGCTGTAGGAAAATGAGTGAGAAGGTCTCATCCACACACTGTGATGTGTTTTGTAATTCTCTTGGTTGACTTGATGTTGGAGATTTCCCAGAGAATATCATCCATGGCCTGGAAATGCAACAATGTGCAACAACCAAAATGACACCTGAGAGCCGTGCCACGGCTGGGGCTGGACAGCGTCTGCCTCCATGCTTGTGTGTCATCCAAAGGGACGAGCAGAATGTCTTTCCTTTCCCCATCATCTGGAGGCGTTTTCCATGTATGGAGGACTGAGGGGGGAGCATGTTGACATTGGGCTTGGTGAAGTGTGACCTGCCCATGCCTGCCGATGAGCCGCGGTTGGGGCTGCGGGGTGGGGTGTGAGGGGCTGGCTGGGGCGAGGCTGCCGGTGTGCCCAGAGGTGCTGCAGGTGCAGACGGTGCTCATTTCTGGACTGGGCGCCATCCGAGCTCTGTCCTGCCACCAGCAATGCTCTGTGTGAAAGCGTCTTGCAGCGGGTGACTTCCCACTGTAACGGGAAAGGAAATCAACGTGCAGAATTTGCCCCTTTACCCTTTTTTTTTTTCCCCCTATGAAAATGGTGCGAGTTACAATTAAAAGGAGGTACTTACTGAACAATACCCCTGTATAACCACAGGTTCATCCTCCTCGTAGCGCTGAGCTGTGAGGGGGCTTCAGTGCTGCTTTTTGACCGGAATAGAGCAGGCAGCCTTTCCTAGCAGAGCATGCAGGTTGGCTGTCATGGGAGAGGTGAAGTTATTCCTGAAAGGAGAAAGGTGCAGAGATCCGAGTGACTCCAGTGTGTTTGGGTATTGGGCTCAAAACTACGCAGCAGCCAGCCTTTCAGCAATGGCAGAGCACAGAGGGGCAATAGAGCAGTTGTTCTTGTGTGCCAGGCTTAGAGGCCCAGACAGTTTGCACCAGTTCTTCCCAAAGCTGCGATAGAGAGTGACCTTTGGAAGGAGATGTTGCCACTGTGATCTGCTCTGATCCTTAGCAGTGCGAGCTTAGAAAGTCGGCACAGATGAAGTTACAGTTTGGTGTGAGGCTGAGTGCTTGGACATGTTTCTTCCTTCTTTTAAGAGCAATATGTATTTTGTATCTATTTTTAAGTTAATCGGAAATGTTATTTATAGTCGGTTGTGCACCTCTGTGTATTCTGAAGTCTCACAGCACAGGACTGGGTGGGAAAACCTGAGGGACTGGGAAGAACGTGGAAATGAGGGTTGAGGGAAAAAAACAGATGGCCAGTCTGCTCCAAAGGTCACTCTGAAAGGATTTCAGAGGCAAATGGCAGACAGGCAGGAGTTTACACTGACTGGAGACACAGGGCAAAACCCGCCTAATTAATGTACTCTAATTATGATGTAAGAGAGTGAGAATAATTCAGTACTTTTCTTTGTGAACCAAGTTTATTTTTTAACCTTATTCAGCTCAGGAACGTTGCCACAGTAGCAAGTACATGGTGTTCACTGTGGGAGAAGTGAATGTGATCCCTTCCTAAAAGCTATGTGGCTGTACCAGTCCTGAGAAAGCTGTGCAGCACCATCAACACTTCCACAGAGCATAGTTTAGTAGCAATTTGCTTCTTTCTTTCTTTCTTTTTCTTTTCTGAAATATAAATGTATTGCAAACCCCAGGCTCTGCTGCCTTTGGCATTTTCTCCTTGTTCATCCTCTCAATACGTCAGCTGCTTTTATTAGCTACAAAGACAATTTCCGTTGAGAGACCTGAGGGGCTTTTATTTATCACTAAGCACAAAGGGTCCTTTTTCAACAGTGTTAAGATTACCCCCTCCCTCCCTCCCCAATTTTTTATGCATGTGATGTGCACACGGTAATGTGCTTTCCTCCTATTAACATTCTGAGAACAGTAGGTAGACTTGCTTTATGTGACGTACAGATATATCCGTATTGCACTGATATGGATATATATATACACATAGATATGTAGCCCCTTAGGGATTTCGTTTTCTTAGATGCAAAATAACAGATTTACCTCAATTTGCGTGCTTTCAAAACCGAATAGGATATTGTGTTATACTTTTCAGGTCTTACGAAGATGCAGATATGTTTCACTCCTCACACAAAAATACCTTCATCACAGATTTTGCAAGCTGTGTACTACAATCCGTGTACTGCTGTCCAGAGTTTTCTGTCGGTTGTTCTGCTGGATTACGTGCAATAATAAACGGTTATCTGCTCACTGTATCGATGTTTATCTTTGTGAGTGCCTTGCACTGGATGACAGGCACATGCTGATTCAGACCTCATCTTGTAAATAACCTGTTGGCTGTGTTTTCTCTAGAGGATGGCTCAGCTCGGAGGGGAAGGCTGATCCATCAGAGCCCAGACGTGGAGGAGGAGGTGAGCCAGGCTCCAGCCTGGGATGCCTCGCTCTGTTGGTGACTGCAGGATCTGGGCTCTCTGGGAACGCAGGGCTGCCCTGGCCTTTGCAGCAAGCACACGGTGCTGGTGGTGCTGAGGCCCCCCAGGACTACCAGCAAGGGGAGAAAACATCACCAACGGGAACCTGGTTTGCAGAGTCTGTGTGCTGCTGTGGGGTCTCCCTTCTGTACAGTGTTTCTTCCAGGTCCTGGCTTCAGAAAATACTGAAATGGGACACTGCAGCACTAAAGGTGCTTTCTTCCCTGTTTTTCCCACAAATGAAATTCCACAATCTGTTATAAGGTCTCATTGTGGTGGAGGACAGCCCCGTCTGTCTTTTCCTCCCCCAAACCTCCCCAGCCATTCAGCTCACATTTCTTCTCTCGAACTGTGCAGGAAACCGTTTGCAGACAGTGCTGTTGTGCTGCCATTAAAGCCTCATCCCAAACGCAAGGATGCTCTAGGAGCCATGTGTCTGCACCAAGCCACCTGGGCTGTGTCCATGCAGCAGTTAGGGCTCCATCGCTACGCCCTCTACAGGTCCCTGTGCTGCCTTCCATCCCCCGGGGCTGCTTCCAGACCGCATTGCTGCCTGCTCCCCCTGCGCCTGTACTTGGAGAGGGGTAATTCTTTCTTGCTAACCTGCCGCCCTCAGTTCCCCTTCACTGATTTAAAGGCTTGTGGATCTTGTCAGGAAACAAATGGGGGAAAGGAGCAATGTTGCACTGTGGCTGAGTGCACAGAGAGGAGGCAGTCACAGGAGGGCTCCGGGACCCTGTGCAGCATCAGCCCCATAAGCCCATAAATGGATGGATGCCAATGTCTGTCTGCAATCTGCCCTGCTGGTGCAAAAACTCCTAGTAAGTCTGAAGTTATGGCCTCCCACATCCACACTTGCCCCCAAAATTTTGTAGTGAATGGACAAATGGGAAAGCCAGACATGAGGGACAGCGAGGGGAAGTGTGATTTAGGGGGAGGATGGGAGAACAGAACCCAGCACCAGGCAGAGCCACCGGGGCTGGAGGAATGCAGAATAGCTAAAACCTTCAATCCCTTTTCTATTTCTGGAGTGTCTCACATGAGCAAAGCTGTGCAGAGGGGCTGGTGAGACGCAGGCTCAGCCTCTGCAGGCAATAGGGTCTCCCTCTTGCTTCTTTGCGGGTCTCATGATGAAGGATCTTTGCTCTGATAAAGATTTAGGGAATAGAGTTTGGTGGAGTGAGGGCTTTGCTCTCCTCAGGGCTTTCTTTGCTTCTGATATCAGAGGAGCCAGCAGCAACTCATTCACCCAGCCATGGGGTGAAGGGAGGGGGCAGCAGGGTAACCAGAGCCCTTTGCACCTCATAAATCTCAGGCTGATGAATGGAGCAGATCTTTGGCTGTGTGTGGAGGAATCAGGGAGGTGGGTCTCCTGCTGGAGCGATGACGTATTGCTTCAAAAATATTAGTAGCAAAAGGATGAGCATGCCCCTTTCCCAGGATGGAGGGAACAGTGCTTGGGGCTTTGCCTCAGGGGCTGCTGCTTTTGGGGTAATGTTCCCTGCACTGCTCCCAGCTGAGTGAGAGGAGAGAGGAGCCCAACATGTGAGAACAGGGACAGAGGCACTGATCCTGTGACAGAAGGGCAGCACTGGTGGGAGGTGAAAGGTGCAATCTGAGCCCCACTGTCCTTTGAGAGTGACCTGTCCAGCCTGGGAACAGCACAGTCGTACTCCACCATCTGTCTGTGCAGGGAGCAGGAGCATCTCCTCCTGGCCTTCAGCCCTGTATGAGGAGGGCCGGGATGAAGCTTCAGCCTCCATCCAGCCGAAGCCCCTCCTGGGAGCCATCAGCTGGAGCCTCCAGCATCAGAAGTATTTATTGTCATTCCTTCCCACTGATGATTTATTTCCCGGCACAGTTCAGCTACCCGTCCTCTCCAGCAGCATCTTCTTGGCAAGCCAAATGCTGTTTTTCACCTAAATTTGAACACTGTTCCACCTAAAACACTCTCAAGCTGTCCCAGTGTGTCAGTGTATGTGCAAGAAAAGGATCAGGAGCTCTTAGCTCATCTGCAGCTTAACGCTCTGGTGCATTTACTAGATGTCTCGTGGTGCCAGGGGAATTTATCTGCCAATTACTTCTCAAGAAATAGCAAAGGGTCATGCAGTCCATGGGCAGATAAGGGCAGAAGGGGGAAAAGAGAAATGGGTTTTACTTAAAACTCAAGTCTGCTGAACAAAAATTTCAGAGCCTGGAAATGTGATGGGGAGATAGAAATGAGTTTGTGTAGATGTTTCAGTGCTGGGCTGTGCTGGCAGAGGTCCGGGCTGCCAACACCCCATGCCGAGCAGCGCCTGGCTCAGCTCACAGGAGGGCTCTGCAGCTCGGGCACTGAATTCTTGCCCCGTGGCTGCAGGACAAGGCTGGCTTTCCTGCTTCTCTGCACAGAGCACACAACCCCAGCTCACTTCTCCTCTCTGACCCCACGGTGCTTGCAGGCTTGCAGGTAGCAATTTACAGCACTAAAGGAAAAGACATCACTGCAATAGAAAAGACCATTGGCAGCAAATTGCTCACTTCTCATTCCCTGTGCTAAGGGTCGTGCTCCTCTTGCACTACAACAAAGGGATTTCCCTTCTCTTCATGAAGCAGCTCTGAAATTTCTGTGCTGGGCTTCCTTATGAATAATGAGGAACTTCACTCCGGGAGATCCAATGTTCAGAAATAAACCAAAATCCATTTCCATGTAAACACTGTTTCCGAAATATCTGCAAAACCAGTGCTCTCTTTCCTCATCCTACAGCTATTTTGGACCAAAATAGATGATCTAATAATTCACAATATAATAATCACACATGCAAAGCCACCCCACACAGAAACAAAATAGACCCTGAGCCTTTCCCTGCATGAAGTGAGATCTGTTTGCCCAGGGTGGTTATTTTCCATAGACACAAAAAGGTTTTTTTTTAAATTGTGG